TTAGGCTTGTATCCCTAGAGTTTAGCCAGAGCACAGCTAGCTTCTGGGAAACAGAAGGTGGGGTAAATTGACAGGAGCTCTTGTAGCTCTATTTTCTCATGGTGGAGGAAAGGCAGTCCTGCAACTATGACCTTACCCTTTCCAACCTGGCCTAACTTGGGGGGCGGAGATCATTCAGTAGCGACTCAAGGGGAATTAACCCCCTAAGGCATGAACTTGCCCTGGCTGAACAGCATAGAAGACAGCCAAGTTCACGCACAAACTTCATGTGGTGATGACAGTCTGTTTTGTCAGTGGTAATTCCGGATATGCATTCATCACTGCTACCTGCCCTTAGCGAGCCATAGCTGTTAGTCAAAGTCTCCTGCATATTGATTGTCTTGGAGCTTTCTAGAAGCAGGCACTGTGGGGAGTTAAAAATAAAGCAGAAAGAGAGTTCCTGTACTTGAGAGGCTTAGAGAATCCAGGCCTAAAATATAGGGCTTGCCTTTATTGGGGCTTTTGGCTACCTTTGAGGGAGGAGGTAGTCAGGGAAAATGTCTTATAATACATCTTAATCATTCATCTATAACAGTCATTCACGTATAGTATTCATGATTTAACCAAGTGACAGGAGGCAGTATGGAGGGTGCATCTGCATTGGAGGAGGGACCACATGCATTATGTAGCAGAGAGCTATTTTTTCTCCAAGCTAGTCTTCACTTCTGTAGGCTGGGAAAATCCTCTTGGTACCGACCCCATGATAAAATTTTCCACTAGATATTATGTCTTTTCAACAGTATGTCCCCAGTAAAGATCTTGGATTCCTTTCAAAACACTATGCATGGAATCTGAGAGTTTCCTTTATAATGGAGTAAAAGCATCATGGGTTGTGTTTGGTTGGTATTAAGGGTTTTTTAATAAGGGATCTTAAAGATAAAAGAAAAGTTTGAAAGCCCAAGTGAATTAATTGAGAATAGAACACGATATAAATATTTAAGCTCTTCATAATACTACAAACCATTCTGGTAAGCAAATATTCAGTTATTTTTATTAGCAGGTGCTGACATTGTATCTCAAGCTGTTTTTGGAAAGGAAAATGATTCTGGAATCTATGTTAAATATAGCCATCGGCTTTGGTCATTGATTGATTGACATGAAATGCTTTTGTGACACATTTAAGCCTATTTAGGACCCAAAGACTCTTTAGTCAAAGTGTTAACTACCCTGTAGAATCAAGAGTGAAAAAAATTTTAAGGCTTTAAATATTGGAGATTTCAAATAGGTAGTCTCTGATTTCTTAAAGATAATTTCCTTTCAAACTTCATCTATCTAGCTATGAGTATGTGCACGCACATACACACACACACACACACACACACACACACACACATCCGATGGTGGAAAGATAGAGATTTGTCATTATGACATGTCATACTATCATTATTATAGCAGTGACGTAAATACTTATTAGTAAACTACTACTGACCAATTATTACCAATACAAGCTTATGCATCAATAATGTATCAACTTTCACAAAACGGTAAAATCAATTTCAGTGAGTATTAGTATATATTAAACTGCACAATGTCATAAACTGCTAGAGAGAATACGGAAATTATTACAACCTGCTAGGGATAATAACATTGAGATTGAAATTTGTTTCTCCATTAACACATTTCAAAGTACTCTCAAATAGAGAATGATTCTTTTGAGACTCATAACCACTCTGTGAGACTGGTATTACACTATATGATCATCTGTGTTTTACAGAAGAAACAGGTTTAGCCAGGTTAAGTGGCTTGCCCTAAATCCCACAGCCAGTGTTAGACAAAGCCAGGGCCTAACCCCAGCTTGCGCTCAACCACTTCATGGCATGTACTTTTAATCCTGTCATGATTGGCTCTTGTCTTTTGCTTTTCATTAAAAAACCAATGCAAGTACAGGGGAGAGAAGATAAAAATTTGTTAAAGACATTGCATTAACTTTTGATGTTTTGTGAAAAATTACCCAATAATGTGATTGATTCCTAAATACTACAAACTAAGCTTTTTAATTTAAGATGTAAGTTTCTAATCACCACTAAGATCTTGGACAGTGTATGTAGGATGTATTAACAGACAGGATGATGTATTAAGAGACATTTTAATGTTTAGATAGTCCATTTATTTCCTTGAAAAGTAAATAGGAAGCACAGCATATTTAAAAATAGGTAATTACACGTATAGTCCTATTTTGGTAGAGATGAGGTAGTGTATGAACACTTATATGAAAAAAAATAAAAATAAAAAAAATAAAGCCATGACCATCTCTTAAATCCTGTAACAAGAGGAAAAGTGGGATGGCAAAACCTTTAGCAAAATGTGTAGGGCGAGTGCTGGCTGCAGGGCAGCCCTCCCTGTAGAGAGGCCACGGTCCCTGACTGAGAAGACTAATGGGTGTCACTATGCAAATTTGCTGTCCCACACATCAAAGGTCTGATTCAGCAGAGTTTTAAAAGAGAGAGCAGGAGAGGAAAGAGGAATTCAAAGGAGAGTAAGGGAACACAAAGGTAAGAGCGACCCCCCACCACACTAAGTAAACTTTAAACTAGACTACAGCAAGCTGATTGGTCAGGCATTTTTATTGAAAGCCCAGAAGTAGCTTACCTGTTCCAATGTGGGTTTGTGGTTAATAATTTTGTCAATGTGAAGTGCTTTAACAATATATTCAAACTAATTTTGCACCCCAAAAGCCTTTGTTCAATATTTCATCTAACTGCATCAGGAGGAATATAGTGTATTTTAAAAGCTTCAAATTTGAAAAATTTTAAAGAGCTGGGGCTCTGGTCTTGAAGTCACAAAGGCATTACAGCAGCAGTTCTGATTATACAGGAAAGCATCATTTAGGCCAGTGTTTCTCCAAACCAGCGTCTGAAGTCTGATGGCAGCAACATCACTGGACAACTTGTTAGGATACAAATTCTCCAGACCAACCCTGAGCTACGGAGTAATCATCATCGAGGATGGGGCCCAACAGCCTGTTTTAACAAGGTTTTCACATAATCCTTTTGCGTGCTAAAGTTTGCAAAGCACTGATTTAGACTACTGTTTATCAAACTGCAGATTACAACCTATTAGTAAGTTGTAAAATCAATCCAATGAGCAGTGACAAGCATTTTACAAAAGTGAAGTCAAACAGAAAACAGAGTCCATTTCAGGTAGCATACGTATTATCTCAAAAACTTGTTTCAGTTCTGCATATGTGTATACTTGTGTGTACTAACTTGGATGAAGCAGCACTTTTAATTTTTGAAGAGCTGGTAGGTATAATAAAGAAATGACACATTTTCAATGAAGTCAGAGCTGTTCGGTTGACAATAACACACATCGACAGCTTGGTGCTGGTGACTGGAGAGAGTTGAGAGGGGTGAGGAGAGAGGAAAGAGGGCCAAAAAAAGACTATAGAAGGTCAGCATTTTATTTCCAGAATCCTTGTGAGGAAAGAAATAACAGGGCCCACCAGAAAGGAGGTGAAAAGGGCACCCACCACAAGGGAAATGTCAAGGAGCGTAAGAACACGATAAGTTAATGAGTGACATTCAAGAAAGAACTGTTTTAGTACAACTGGCGAGGATATATGTATTCACTCACTCATTAATTCATTCACAGAACATTTATTGTATCATCACAAGCACCAGGCACTGTGTTAAACACTGGAGGTGCAGATGTGAGGTTTATCATGGAGCCAATTGTTTAGTGACATGCAAGATGTCTAATAATGATAACAAGATCAGAGCTATGAAGAGGGATTGTACAGCACTGAGTGGGAACACTGAAGTCGGTCTGTAATGCTGGGGTGGGGAACAGGGTGCAAGGAAACATCTATAAGGAGAGGGCATTTAACCAAAATGATCACCATATCTTAACATGATATTGCATATAAAGCACTGAGTACGTTTTTCCATTTATATATGTGTGTGTACATAGTTACACATGTCTTTATATGTGTACATATATTCTTTTGTTTAAAAACTTGATTGCCATATTTTAAGAGTGACGAAAATCATTACATAAAAGACATTGCAAATACTGAAAAAAAAAAAAAAAGACGAAGCATTTCTGTAGTTTTACAAAACACCACTTGCTATTATTTTCAGGTGAGGATATGTGTAGAGACTAGACATTTTCAAAATGGGAGTCTCAGAGCAGGCTGTTCCCTGGGTATCCAGACCCCATTCTGCCACGGAGAGACCACATGAACACCGAGGAATGCACTGAGGAAAATTTTATTACATTCCATTTTAGAGAAATTATAGGATCTTAAAGATGCGGGTACCCTAGGATTTAACACAAGCAGTTTAGGTAAGAAACCTCAAGTCAGCAGGGTGCGGTAGCTCACGCCTGTAATCCCAACACTTTGGGAGGCGGAGGCGGGTGGATCACTTGAGGAAAGGAGTTCGAGACAAGCCTGGCCAACATGGTGAAACCCCGTCACTACCAAAAATACAAAAATTAGCCAGGCGTGGTGGCACCTTCCTATAATCCGAGCTACTCTGGAGGCTGAGGCAGGAGAATGGCTAGAACACGGGAGGCGGAAGTTGCAGTGTCAGTGAGTCGACACAGCACTACCGCATTTCAGCCTGGGTGACTGAGTGAGACTCCGTCTCAAAACAAAAACAAACCTAAAGCCCAAAAAGGTAAAAGGTAATATAATTTGCTCATTACACATAGTTTGGTGTTGGGCCTAGATCCTGGGTTTCATGAGTCAGGTGCAGCGTTCCTGGCACCACGGTTTTTGCCCAACCACAGAGGGTCAAGCTGGATTATCCTGAGTTCTTCCAACTCCATGCTTCCTCCCGGGTTGGTGTTCCATGAGTAAGTCTAATTCAGATCAAGCTGGCTTTTGAGCTTCTGTGTTTTTTTAAATCAGTGTGTAACACCAACACCCACCGAAAGCAAATGGCTCTGGGCACAGGATACAGCCATTCACGCCCCCTGCCAGAAAAAGCTGCAGCGGACACTGGCTCCTCCAGCGTCGCCGGGCCACGTGCGGGAGGAGGGGCCGCCTTCTGGTTGGCGCCCCGCGTCCGTCCCTCCTTAACGGCGTAGGCCCCGCGGTGGAGGCGAGGGCGCGCCCTGGCTGGGAGGGCAGGGCTAGAGACCTGTCCATCACCGAGTCTGCGGGTGGCGGCACCTACCGCACCGCCGTACCTAGGAGAGGCAGAGCCGGGGCGGGCAGGCCGCGGCCGGGGGAGGCGGAGACAGGCTGGCGGGAGCCAATCGTCCGGGCGGCGCGAGGGGGCGGGGGCGGGGTCCCCGCGCGCGACCCAAACACAAGGGCCGGGCGCACCCTGCCGCCGCGCCGCTCCGCGACCTTCCGGCGCGAGGGTCCGGGACCTCCTCCCCTCTTGGGCACCCCCACCTTCGCGGCTCAGATCCTCCCGCCAGCCCGGCCCCTCCTTCGCGGGGGGAGCGAGGCGACGGTTGCCGGGAAGCGTGCGCCACCCCTCCCTCCCATTCTTCGTCTTTCCCTCGCGCGCCACCCGTTTTTCCTCTTTCTCCGTTAATAACAGTTGGGTGGCTGGGGGAGGAGAGAAGGTGGCCCCGGCGAAGTCTGGGCGGGCGCCTCCCACTCAGCCGCCTGCTGCCGTGTGAGCCGGAGGATGGCGGCGGTAGCAGCGGCCGCCCGAGAGGAGGCGGTGCCGAGGCCCGGGGCGCCGAGCGCGGCGGCAGAGAGCGGCAGCGGCCCGTCGTGGCGCACCAGAACCGAAACCAGCTGCCGCCGCACGTCCACCTGAGCCGCCTCTTTCCGCTGGAGCCTGCGAGCGGTGCGCGCAGCCGGATCCCCTTTCCTCTTCGCGTCTCCACGTCTCCTGCGCCCGCGTGAGGCCGCCGGCCTCGCCCACCGCCCGGAGAAGAGCGCGCAGGGTGCCGACTGCCCCTCGGGGCGCCGGGCGGCGGCCCTGGACGTGCGGGGGCCTCTCTGTGCCGGCCGCGGCGCCTCGGCCCTGCCCTCAGGCTTCTGCCCTCGCTCTCGCCCTCGCTCCCGCCCTCTCGGAGCTCCGGGCGCTGCGCGCGGGCCCGGCCCGGGGCAGGGCGGACATGGGCGCCAAGCAGAGCGGCCCGGCCGCCGCTAACGGCCGCACGCGCGCGTACTCGGGCTCGGATCTGCCTTCCAGCAGCAGCGGAGGGGCCAATGGGACCGCGGGCGGCAGCGGCAGCGGCGGCCCTCGGTCCGCCGCCGCGGGGAGGTTCCCGGCTCAGGTGCCCGGAGCACACCAGCCCAGCGCCTCGGGCGGCGCCGCAGCGGCCTCGGCGGCCCCGGCAGCCCCGGCCCCGCGCAGCCGCTCCCTTGGCGGGGCCGTGGGGAGCGTGGCGTCGGGGGCCCGCGCGGCGCAGTCCTCCTTCAGCATCCCGAACAGCAGCAGCGGCCCGTACGGCTCGCAGGACTCGGTGCACAGCAGCCCCGAGGACGGCGGCGGTGGCAGGGACCGGCCGGCAGGCGGGAGCCCCGGCGGGCCGCGTCTGGTGATCGGCTCCTTACCAGCTCACCTCTCGCCGCACATGTTTGGAGGTACGGCCCCATCTCCGCGCGTTTGCGCCCGGCCCTCCCGCGGCTGCACGTGGGCAGCGGCCGCCGGGTATTTTTACCCCTTCTCCTTTTCTCCTTCGGCCAGGGCGCTGGGGGCTTTTGCCCCGCCCGGCCCGCGCACGTCCCTATCCTGGGAAGAAAGCCTGCAGTTAACACCTGCGGTGCTGCTACCGCGTAGACGCGTGGTTTTGTTTTTAAACCTCGTAAGCACCCTCACCTCTGCGGCTCCCCAGTAGAGAAGGTCCATTTTCCAGTGAGGTGACTGGAGCAAATGTTGTTTTACAACAAACCGACGAAACAGCCCTTGTGGTTGTGGCTTTTAGTACCAGGAAGTCAGGAGGAGATACATTGCTAAATGTTACATCTGGGGAATCGAGTGGGGAACAGCTTTTAAAGGCCAAAAGTCAAAGGGTCTCAAATGAACATTGAGTTACCATCTTTGGGCCGACTTTTAATATAAAGCTGTAATCCTTAAATCTGTGTCAGCCCCACTTACTGTGTCACTTTAATTGGATGAATGCGTTAATGAAAAGTTTGTTTTTAAACCCCACTTAAAAATTTAGACTTAAAAAGTTAGACTTGATTGTACTTCCAAATTACTTAATTTTTTAATATGTATTGCAGCATTATTTTTATTCAGTTTCAAATTGTATACATGTTTGGTTACATACAAATAACAGTTAATGTGAGTCCTGCTTAATTTGGACAGCATTTTAAAAATGGATAAGTTTCTTAAGGAAATAAAAATTTTGCAACTCTGCCTACATGGTACAGTAATTGGCTAGATGCTTTTGAAGAGCAGTATTGACTAGAGTTAAGGAAAAGTCAGTTGTGAAAAATGGACATTTTTAATAGCAAAATGATATGCTTTTCTATAGAAAGAGGAGGAAGGGTGCATTGTCCTGGGGAAAATGAATTCTGCCGCTTCAGTTATATTTTATGCTGATCTGCTTTATTGAAAACGCTAATAGTAATGAATCAGGACCACCTCCCCGCTTTATGAAAATAAGTAGAAGTATAGATAGATAAGCATTCCCATGTCATTGCATTAGGTATCTGATATTAGAAAAATTCACAACTGAGCACAGACGAGCAGTGAAAACACCATCCCTTATATTTTTGTGCCTCTTTTACTCATATTTATAAACGTAGGCACTTTGAGTAGAGACTTAGTAAAGTGGAATACTTAGTAATTTATCTGTTCTGATGTTTGTACTATCAGCATTCACTCCAGCATAATTTAAAAATAGGAATGTCATGTTTAGTTTTTCCTTTTTAGTAATACTTTGCACATTCAATATGGAACAACGCTTGACTTAAGTAGCTATGTTGTTTTAAAGTAATTTTTGCTTCTTAATTAAATATATTCATCCTTCCTAAAATTGGGCCATTTTTAAAAGTCATTTGCTTTTGAGTAAAAGAACTCTACTGATGTCCTTAGAGTGATTTGATCACAACTAATCTAACAGTTGAAGGTGCTGTAGTCCACATTGAAGAATTTAAAAGGCAATTTCTGAGAATTGGTGATTAGTGCGAAAATGAAGGACAAATTGGTTTTTAATATTTTTTTAAAGTGAAAATATGCATTTGGCAGTTATCAAAAGATGAACATTTAATTTTGTTAAAGAAGGGTGAATAGGAAAAGCCTTGTCAAATTAATAATATTTAATATGCTGATTTTTAAAAATTCATTTTCTAAGAGATGATAATTCCCTTTGGCAAACATTATATTTGTATGGGTTTATTTTGTTAAAGTAAATGCATTTGATTCAGAGCAAGGGACACACAGTTGAGCCCCATGCTTTTCCTAGTAAATGAGTAAGTAAAAATACCTAGTTGTTAAAGTTGGAGGTAAAGCATTTATCTTTTTTCTTATCTAGATTCTATATCTGTGTACTCACTATAGTTCTTTTAGTACTGTTGGAGTTGGATGACTGGGGCCTAGTAACACAGTGACACTTTCTGAGTAACTTATAGCAGCCTTTCTCAATTCTCTGGAGAGAATTGAGTGGTAGTGTGCAGTGAATTTTAACTTTTAGCTCCAGCGCTTTTAGGATGGTTTTCGTTATGTATCACTCTTGGAACAATTGAGAAAACAGTCACTGAAATAATTTCCTGTGTTTGGTGATTCAGATGAGGAACCTCAGTTGAGAAATGGTAGAAGGGGATCAGAGAAATTACCTGGTCTTTTCTTATTATATGACAGATCAGATGAAAGTGCCACATCCTTAAAACTTTGTTGAGACAGGGAGATGGAATACACTTATGTAAAACCCCTTATTAGTGGCATTGCCTTACTGAGTGGCATTGCCTATTTATTAGTGTATGAGTTATTAGGAAAACAATAGAACTCGATAGAAGCATGTTTCTCCTTATCTTGAGATTTAGAGAGCTAGATGAAGAATCTCACAATTAAAAAAAATTAGACTTGATTGTACTTCCAATTAATTTTTTGGTTTGTATTACAGTATTGTGTTTATTCAGTTACAAATTGTATAAATGTTTGGTTACATACAAATAACTATCTGAAAATTGATAAAAGGATTATTTCTGAATTAATGGAAAGTTCATATTGTTTTTTGTAAAACTGTTGTTTTAATTGTTTACATTGTTAACATCTCCTAATAAGAAAATGTGGTACTAATAAGATTCAAAATTATTCTTTTGTAAGCTGTCATGTAATTCAAAGAAAATGAAAAACGGTACCCACTCCCTTTTTTTTTTTAACCCTTAAGAGTCTAGCAAGTGGAATTGTTAGTAGTTCCCTCATAATGAATTGACACACTGAATGAGGAGGTTTTCTGTGTTGGTTTTATGTTTTGCTGTTTTTTGGACGTCTACTTTGGCTATATACACTCTTATTCTCTCTAGAGAACTGGAAGAAAAGTGCCTAATCCAAATATTTCAGTTTGTAGAAATTTCCTAGAATTGAGTTACCAGACAGCAGAATATGATTATATCTATATAGGAGATTTTAGGTGAAGTAAATCTCGTCTTTGTTACTCTTTTCATACTGGTGCGTGTGACAGTGAACAGATGCTCTCTTGATGGACAACATAGTGTTGCCATCACCTTTGTTTTAATAGAGGTGTTAAGAGTATTTCCTAATGTTTAAAAGTCTTGATGATTTAAAAGCCTTAATATTTGTTTGGCTTTAATTTATGTCTATGGTTTTTTCCCTCTGTCAAGTAGCTATTGTTCATACGAGCAATTTATATGAGTGGTGAAATAGCCTTTACTGATGCAAGGATGGAGTAGATGAATTAGGCTATAGAAATATACCAATAAATGGAGATTATTTCCAGAGAAATCGTGTGGACTTCTATAATGTATGCTTGAGTCCGGAAGTGAAAATGTAAATGACTTAATCTAAGGCAGCCAGTGATGCTGGGTTGCTTTTGGCCTCCTGATTGTCTTAAGCTTTTTTGGGTGTGGCTTGCTAGTATTTCAGTAGTCTGATTATAATTCAGGTGCCTCCTTACTTGTGAAACATGTTTCCTTATATTGAAGGAGTGTGGGTTTTCTCTTAAAACTGAATATGCTGAATAAAACCTGTGTTTCTAGGAAGATTTCTCTTAATTTTTAAGGCAAATGTGAAGTTTTGTGGTGTTAGATTATCTTCATCAAATTAACCATTGTTGAATTGGTCTCGGTTATCACTTCTTACCAGTATTAAGTGCCAAAGTGTTTGAATTTGGGACATTGTAATTAATCTACTTCATATTCCTGAATATTCTTTTCCATTGAAGGCTTTTATGGGGAGTGGCAGAAGAGGAATGTTTGCCTCTTTCTAAGAAAAATGAGCCTTCTAACCACCACCCTGCCACTCCTGAAGTAAGAATTTTGGAGGTTAATGTTTCTCACTTGTAATTTCATACCTTCATTTACTGTGCTTAAGTGTGGCCTGTGTCATGGAAGTTTCTGCTTTGGGAATTTTTTGGAACTATTCTTGACTGCAAGGTGGGGAGGATTGGTGAGTTACGTAGGGCATCATCTGGTCTGAGAGCAGCCTGACCTAAGAACCTGGTACTTTGACGCTTTGCTGGCTGCTGCAGTGCCTGAGGGAGTAAGATCCCTGTTGTAAGATAGTGTCTTATTTCCTCAGGCATATTTCCAGCAAGTACCTTGCTCTCCTCCAATTTGATTGCTTTGCCTGGTGACCAGTAAGTTCTTCTAGTTACCAAATATCATCAATTGGATATCAACTTTTAAACTATTTATTGTTTGGGTTTTAAGGAGAATTGCCTTAATGTTATACTTATTACATGTACTAAGTATTTATGTACAATTGGGTATGTTGGCAAATGTGTTAAAAGAGAGTGTAGGAATTGCTTTATGTATACAGCAAATTACTTGCTAAGTTTTGCCTTACTTAAATATTCTTAAGAACTGTTGTTTATTTGAAATGTTAGTCTGTGTTTTAATTTTGCATGTACATGACTGGTTCCACATTTATTTGTTTAGAAATGAGACAAAACCTAGGCCTTTGTGAACAAAGGGTTCAGAAATACCTAGGTTCTGATTTTATTCACTTTCTAAGCTCCCTATTCACAAATGACTACAAATTTAGTGGCTCTAAGCAATACATTTATTGCCTCGGCAGTTTCTATGGGTCAAGAGGCTGGACACAACTTAGCTGGGTCCTCTGTAAGACTGCAGTCAACGTGTTGGCAGGGCTGGATTGTTGTCTGGAGACTCAACTGGGGAAGGGTCTGCCTCCAGACTGCCTTGGGTTATTGGCAGAATTTATTTCTTTGTGGTTATTAGGTTCAGAGCAGCTTGCTTCTTCAAAGTCAGCAAAGGAAGAGACTCTAAGGTGGACTGGTGCTATGTTCTTACATAAATATGTGCATGTAATCACATACAAACCATTGCCTTTGCTGTATTTCATTGATTAGAAGGAAGTCATATGTCTAGTTCATGTGCAAGGGGAGGGAATTATACGAAGGTTTAAACATCAGGAAGTGTAGGAATCAAGAATA